AGAACATAAATAAAAAATAAATATAACAGTTATAAGAAATATAAATTTTTGTTTACGGCAAAGAAATATGGAAAATAAAATGTTATATAATTATAATAATAATAATAATAATAATAATAATAATAATAATAATAATAATAATATTCTTTATTCTATATAAATAAATGTTACATACAAATGGAGGACAGTTAGGTTTCCCTTTCTTCCCCCGTCTCCGAAATTATAATAGTTATTATTCAAGATGGCGAGCGAAGATCAGTTACTGCAATTAAATTGTAATAAATGTGCAAATAAAATTAATAAAAGTGAGACATTTGTCAAGTGCAAAGGTGTATGCAACAAAGTTTTTCACTCTCAGTGTAGTGCAATCAAAGATTATAAACTTAGACTGTTAAATTCGAAAAATTGTAATGTATTGTGGTTCTGTGACTTATGTAGCTTGATATGGGATAACTTTAAGCAATTGAATGAATCTATCCAAGCTATTCAATTAATCATCAGTAAACAAGACAAGGAATTAGCAAAACAAAACAATAAATTTGATGCAGTTATTAGTAAAGTGAAAAACCTAACCTCAAATATTACTAAAAAAAAGGCCTGCTTGGTGCTTGGCCCCCAAAACACAAATGCAAATGACAACGCCAACTATATATCAGTGGATGAAGATCCTGCAGAAAACTCAGACGATTCAATTGAGACAGTAGTCGATAAAATTGAACAAAGTAGTTCAAAAGCCACAAGAAGAAGAAGAATAACCAAAATCATAAACAACAAGAAAAACAAGCCAACTTTATTCAAGGAGTCTCAAGCGACTCTGAACTCAAAGCTATTGAAAATGTCAAACATGACTGGTACTATATATCCCGCTTTGAAACAAAAACTATGGAGGAGACCTTAAAGGAATACATAAACATCATCTTTTAAAGTGGGTAGGTATCCCAAGTGAAGAAAATATTAATATTCTTAATCCTAATAAATGGTCCAAAGGCATACTTGTCAGTGAATACAACTTTCGTGGCAGAAGCAACTTCAACAAAAATACTACCAATTCTTAAGAACTCTCAGTTTAACATATATCATATCGATGTTCAGTGTCTTGGAAGTAAACTGGATGAGGTAGAACTCTTCACAGAAAAGTATCCATTTGATGTTTTATGCTTTTCAGAAACTTGGGCAAAAGTTTCAAATATTGATCTTCTTATTTTAAATAATTATAATTTATGTTCTTATTTTTATAGGTCTAATTTGATACATGGTGGAGTCTCCATATACACTAAAAAAGGTATTAGTTTCAAACCATTGAATCTTTCAAAATTTATAAGTGAATTAGACATTGCACTTTGCGGAGTTGAACTTCCTGAATACAAAAGTTTGGTGATCTGTCTATACAGGTCTGACTATGGCAGTTATGAAATATTTTTAACTAAATTTGAAGAGCTCCTGCTAAACTATGTAGGTAAAATACAGAATGTTGTTATTGCGGGGGACTTCAAAATAAATTTTAACAAAAACACACCTAAATTAAAAGAGCTAAGTCTACTTATACACTCTTTTGGCATTAAAGCCACAATACAAGATCACACAAGAATATGTGAAACCACTTCCACCTGCATTGACAACATTCTAACAAACCTAGACTGTGCACTTTATGAAACGGGTACCTTAGACCCTTGTCTATCTGATCACATCGGACAATATCTTATCATTGAGAAGAAGGTCAGGAGTGAGGACAAATATATTTACAGACGTATAATAAATGATGCGGGTATCGGGAAATTAAGGGACAGACTAAGTAGGCATGATTGGGAAAAATTCAACAATCACACTGAAAATATAAATGAGCTATCTGAGTATCTTACTAATACATATAAACAACTAGTAAATGAATGTTTTTCAAATAAGAAATCAAAAGTTAAAACAAACAATGTTTTAATCAGATGGTACAATGATGATCTAAAGCAAATGCGTAATCAATTATCATGTTTAAAAACTATCTATAATGTAACTAAAGGCTCAGAATCAAAACAAATATACAACACATTACGTAAATCATACAAAAACAAAATTATAGCTTGTAAACAAAGTTCATATCATTTTTTTCTAGACAATTCTAAAAACAAATGCAAGGATAGCTGGAAAATTATAAACACAAAAAGAGCAAACAAAAAAGAATCACCCAAATCTCACATTTCGGAGAAAGAATTTAAGGATTTTTCGCTAACATAGCTGAAAACTTAAGAAATAAATTGCCCAAGACTACAGCTAGTCACCTTCAGTCCCTAAAAAAGACCCCTACTTTGTCTAGCTCTTTTTTCTTCGAACCTGTGTCTGCTGACGAGGTATTCAAAGTCATTATATCACTCAAAAACTCTGAGTGTGTTGACTATTTCAATCTAAACGCCAAAATTATTAAGTCCACTGCAGAATTATAAAGCAACATCTCTGTACCCTTTTTAATCAATGTTTTGAATAAGGTGTCTTTCCTGATATCACTAGGCAACAAATTTGAACTTGTTGTAAAAGTTTTAGTTCTTATATTTTTTTTCTGATGCAGCTTGATATACTGACAACAAAAAACTAAAAAAGAAATTTTTCTATGGAAGGGTTTTTTTGTTATAATTTTTTGAAATATAAAAAATTGAATTGTTCGATTTTCTCGAGGTTGCCCTACTTTATTAATCATTACTTTGTAACGCATTGACCGATTCTTAAATTTAAAAAAACAAATAAATGCTAATAAAATTATCATCATTTTATGTCTCAATGATTTTTTTAAAAAGAAGTACTATTTACTGAGAATTTAGAGTTAAACTTAAAAAAATGTAGAAAAAGTGTCAAAATCCGACGACGATTTTACATTCAATGTAGTCTAAACATATAAAAAACATGAGATCGATTTTTTAAATATTTTTTTCCATATAGAGGACTAAAAGACGAACAAAACAAGCTATCAAAATCGAAAATTAAATGTAAATTGACGGAGTTATATATTTTTAAAGATAATGGTAAAAAACGCAGTCTGCAGCATCCTCTGCAATTCCTACTGAAGAAATTAATGGCTTTTTTTGTTTTAATGAACGAATCTCTTCCGCAAATTCTTGCTGTTGTGCAAGCTTTAATGAGGTCGTAGTGGCTTGATTAATTTCTGTTATCGTTAAAGCACCCGTTCTCCGTTTTGTGTTTATTTTACAATTATTTACAAACCTAAGCATATAGGCGACGACCATTTTTTAATGTAAATAATGACGAGTACCTATCAAAAATACTATAATCGTTTACTAGTGGCAAAGAAGTGAAAGTTGATTTTTTTATTTCAGGTATTTCATTGTGAGGTTCGGAGATTTGATAATTAATTGGGTCAAAATCATTGTGTAAAAATTGTGGGCCGTCCCACCATAAACTAAAATTATTTAAGGTCGTGGGGCTTGCGCTACGGGATAGAATATCTGCTGGGTTTAATTTTCCATCAATATGGTACCAATCTGTAACCCTAGTTAATTCATTTATTTGAGTAACCCGATTGGCAACGAATGTTTTTAAATAGCATGGTTGAATTTTTAACCATGCCAATACAATTTTTGAATCTGTCCAATAATAATATATATAATAATACTGCCTTGAGATATTTATTGTTAATGCAGATTTTATTTGTTGTACCAATTTGGAAAGTAATAACGCGCCACACAACTCCAATTGTGGAATGATTATTTTCTTTAGTGGAGCTACCTTTGATTTAGCGCAAATTTATTTAGTTGTGTAATTTGACAGATGATCGTTTATTGAACGAAAATATGCGCAACAACCGTAACCCGTTTCGCTTGCGTCGCAAAACACGTGTAGTTCCAAAATTGTTGGGTTATCGCATATAAAGTGACGTGAAATTGCAATATTGTAAAATAGTGGTAGCTGACCAACATAATTTAGCCATGTTGATATAAATTCTAAAGGTACCTTATCATCCCAATCGACCTTCAGCTGCCATAACTTTTGCATAAAAACCTTTGCCTTCATAGTGATTGGGCTTAACAACCCTAACGGATCAAATATCCTTGAGACAATAGATAAAATTTTGCGTTTTATTAAATTAGTTTGGTATTCTGTGGATTGACAGTTAAAAGAATAATGAATAGTGTCTGAATTTGCGTTCCAAAATAAACATAATGTTTTTACAGCGGTATCGTTTGCGTAAAATTTTTTAACTAAATCTATTGGCTCGGTGTCATTTGACCCTAAGTTTACCTGTGAAATATTGCAAGCCCATTTGCATAAGTCAAATCCATAATTTTCTAGCAATAACGTCAAATCGGTTTTTAGTTGCATTGTTTCCTCTAAAGTGTTGGCACCTGTTAAGAGGTCATCAACATAAAAATCGCGTATGATCGTATTACATGCTGCAGGATAATTATTGGTGTTTTGATGGGCAATTTCGTGGAGACACCGTATAGCTAAAAATGGTGCACATGCCGTGCCATACGTGACTGTTTTTAAATTAAAGACTTTAATTGATTCTGCGTTGTTTTCTCGCCATAATATATTTTGATATTTTAGATCCTCTTGATTAATTCAAATCTGCCTGTACATTTTTTTGATGTCGGCTGCCAGTACATATTTGTGCGATCAAAACCTCAGCACAATATCAAAGAGATTTTCTTGGATCGTAGGCCCGACGCATAGACACTCATTTAATGAAACTCCCTGTTCGGGCTTAGCCGATGCGTCAAAAACCACCCGAATTTTTTTGTCTTTATACACCGCGTGATGTGGTAAGAAATATTTTGGCCTTATGGACTTATCGATTCCCATATGGTCGAGGTTAACATATTCGTGTATAAATTCACAATATGCAATTTTTAAATTGAGTCAAGAAACCACATCGTTACAGGCCTGGAACAGTAGCTCTTCGTGAGATCCGTCGTTACCAGAAAAGTACCGAATTGCTCATCAGGAAATTGCCTTTCCAACGTTTGGTTCGTGAAATCGCTCAAGATTTCAAAACTGACTTGCGTTTCCAGAGCTCCGCCGTCATGGCATTGCAAGAAGCCAGCGAAGCATACTTGGTCGGTCTTTTCGAAGATACCAACTTGTGCGCCATCCACGCCAAGCGTGTAACCATCATGCCTAAAGACATCCAATTGGCAAGACGTATTCGTGGAGAACGTGCTTAAGTTATCGACGACGATTTCCTACCAAAAAAAAAAAACGGTTCTTTTCAGAACCACAAATAATTCATAAAAAAAAGAATTTAACTTTCATTAGTAATTCCTATTACCTGGGCTTCAAACTTAAACTAATTTACCTAGTACCTAGTGTATGTGCACTCGTATTTACCTAAAAGTAAAATTAAATAAAACTTAGTATATGTATGTAGTATGAAAAAAATACAATCAAATTTCATTTAATTTATGATGGTATAGTAATCTTACTTAAAAAATATAAATGCACCACCTAATTTAAGTTAACTATTTAAAATAACATACATTAAATGAGATCAAGATCAGTAAAAGTCCGAAATTTAAAATTTTAACAATATATTTTATGAAACTATTTTTATAGTTTAAAATGCATTTTGCGAGATTGTTTTAACTATTGTACAGATTTGGTTATATAAAATATATTGTAAACAATTGAAATTTTGGACTTGTAGTGAGGTTGATCTTACCTTACCTATTTATTTGTAGTTTTATGTTAAAATAAAATGATTAATACAAAATATTAATTAGTGAAAAAAAACCGCTTATTTAGCAAAAGAAAAATAAATAATGCGTTCTAAACGTTACCTGATGCAAACCCTATACATTTTTATGATTATTATTATGTTTTTATCCAATGCAGTGATATAGAATTAATATTTAAAAAACCGTTGCTTTATTAGCTTTAAAAATGTTATGAAATTTAAGACAATTATCCTTTAGATTTTAGTACAAAAACAATTATTCGTACAGGTTTGCACAAATTTTATGAACAATAAGATCTTCAGCTATTACGATTTGAATGGTAAAGTAATATCGGCATTGCGATAATTTATATTAAGTTTGTATACATGTAGATTGGCATTTCTATATTAAGGATAGGAACTAAATTCTAAAAGATCTATCAACTCGATCAATATTTACATTATTTTGCTGAAAGCGATATTCCAAGGATTTTAAACGTTTTTCGGCGATTGTTTCGGTTTTTCCCAATTTGTGCATGCAATCTTTAAACGGTAGCCGTACGACGAAACGACCTTTGTCATCCCGGATCGTAGTGGCCTTAAAATAATTTTCGCAATATTGTTCTTCACGCGAAAATCTTTTTTGCGACGGGAGTTCCTCTAACTCCCAAAATTTGGATAATTGATCATTTACACTGATAGCGCAGATATGGTTTTTAGCTTTCGCGATATTTGGCTGAAATAGCCCTGAAATTATCCATCCGAATTTAGTTTCTTGTAAAATGGGATGCCCTTTGCCGAGGGTCATTGTCTTTGGTTCCAATAAATCGTAAAATATACCTGCCCCTAAAAGAATATCAATAGGTCCCGCCTGGTTAAAAGTTGGGTCGGCTAATAAAATATCTCTTTTTATATGCAGATTATCAATTGGAAATGAAACTATTGGAATCTGATTGGTAATATTGGGCAAAATTAAAAATTGTAATTTACTTTCAAAAGTGTTATGTCTTGAATTAAGTACCGCTTCTGTACGGTAATTTACTTGTGTCACCCTTTGATTTATACCTGCAATGGATAATTCATATGTTTCCAAGGGCAATTGCAATTTTTTGGCTAACCTTTGTGTTTGACTACCTGAATCTAATAAAGCTCTACATTTGTGAACGTTTCCAAATCGATCATAAATATTGACGACAGCTGTTGATAATAAGACGATACTCGAATCATTGAAATAATTAGGCGCCACCCGGTTCTGCTTTACCGAGTCCCTCGGTATATGGGTCATGGTTTCCCGGCCACCCTGAGTGATATTAGACACATTGCCTGTAAAAGTTGTCCCTAATGAAGTGGTTAAATGGTTAGAATTAGAGGGATTAGAATGATCTTCCGAGATTTGTGTGAAGGTTCGGTTATCGTTATTGACGCTGCTGCTATTTTTCGCGGGAAAATGTAAGAGGGTGTTATGTTTTAAGCCACATTGCTTGCATTGTCCAAAAATGCAAGCGTTCGAATTGTGACCTGCTTTCAGGCAATTAACACATCGATAAGCCCCTTTAATGACTTTATGACGTTCCAAAGGACATAAATTTAAAAAATCTTGACAATGGTAAATGTGATGAATTTGCTTGTTACACAAGAAACATTTTTTTGAATGTTCAGACGCTGTTGCCGCAAAGCGAACTTGTTTCCTTTGATCAAAATTTCTTGAATTCACTATTTGATTGTTATCGTGAAGTAATTTTTTCGATTTTATACATGAATTGTTTAAAACGTTACTGTACTCTAAGAGAAAACCTTTAAGTTCGGAATACGTAGGTACTTTAACCGACTTAAATTCTAATTCAAACGCTTTTCTTGTATCTGTGTCTAATTTAGCTAATAAAATATTGAATAACGGAAAATTCCACTCATCTGTAGGAAAGCCTAACAATTTCAATGATTCAACGTTTTCGTCAAACCTATTGATAAGCTGTTTTAAAGTACCCGTTGATTCGTTGTATACCTTAGGAAATGCCATTATTTGATCCCAATACGTTGCCAAACGTCGTTTATTATTGTATTGGTCCATTAATTTATTGTTTGCCATGATATAATGTTTTTTCGCCACTGGAATAGATTTAATAAAAGATTTTGGCTTGACACTAAGCGAGGTCAGCAAATATTGAAATTTTTCCATGTTTGACAGCGAAGTATTGTTGTGAACTAAACTGTGAAATAAATCTCGAAACGATAACCACATTTGAAACGTTCCGTCAAACATCGGAAGCTGTAATTTAGGAAGCTTTACATTGGACTTAGACTCCCGTGTTACGTCATTACTGGACGCTGAACCATTACTGACCGTTTCGACCGCCGTATTGTCTAATCCAAAAATTTTCGCGTAACTAGTTTTAATTGCATAATACTAGTTATCACACTCTACCCTAGCCCTTTCGTGTTCAGCCGCGTCAAATGTTTTAGCCTTAATTTTTTTTGTCATAATTTGTTGCTGAATATGTTGAAATTCATTAAATAAACCTTGAATTTATTCATATCGAAATTTAAAGGGTATGTGAACAGTGTCATCAGTTTCTGCTTAAAGAGCAATGTCTTGCGTTTCCTTTAAACGATTTTTTGTCGTATCTAATGAAACCTCTAATGCTTGTATTGCTTCCGCCATTGTTTATAGTGCAAATTGTGCAGGTAGCAAACAAAAAAAAATAAAAAAATGCTTGTCTGGCTGTTTTAAATAAATGCGATTTAACCAGTTTTTAAAAATATTAAGTGTTTCGTACGATTAAAGAACTTTATGCACGATGACATTATAATATGACAATTATAACAAAAATTCTTTGACGTAAACGTCTTTTTATAGCCCGCGGGCTTTATTATGGCCCAGCGGGCTATAATGAAACGTCAAAAATTAAAAACAACAATGTTACACCATTTGATATATTCGAAGTAAGTTTTTTCGTATAAAGATTTTGATTTTACCGGCAGCAGGCCGCAATTTTTCGCCTTTTCAGCTGCTTCCTCAATTTCATTTATCTTTAAACTTTAAAACTGACTGATGTCAGTTGACATTATAATATGACAATTATAACAAAAATTCTTTGACGTAAACGTCTTTAAAAACAATAATATATTAAAAATAATAATATATTAAACGTGCATAAAGTTTTGTATGCATTGCTGGCATAACTGGTTTTTATGGTCCTACGACGCTTTTCTAGCCCTCGCGCTAACGCGCTCGGGCTCGAAATAGCGCCTCGGACCATAAAAACCTTATTATGCCCTTAATACATAAATAACTATTATGGCACAAATAGAAACTTGCAATAAATTATAAGGATTAGTGTTAAGGAATTGGTGGACTCACCGGATTTTATCGGCTGATTGTGAAAGTTTCCAATTCGATGATTGTGGCTGTTGCCACTTTGATGATTGCTGCGTGTAGATTGTGGCTGTTGCCACTTTGATGATTGCTTTTGTGTAGATGTAGACTGTTGCTACGTTGATGATTGCTTCGTGTAGATGTAGACTGTTGCTACGTTGATGATTGCTTTGTGTAGATTGTAGACTGTTGCTACGTTGATGATTGCTTTGTGTAGATTGTAGCTGATGCCACTTTTATGTAGATGTAGACTGTTGCCAATTAATTGCCCACATCCGGTTCGAAGGACCAAAAAATGTTGTAAATTGTTGTGAATTAACCTGGCTTGATGAACCATAAATGATGTTGTAAAATAGATGCTCGACGGATCACAAATTATTGTTGATTGTGCAATTTGATTGAAACACTCACTTACTTAAAATAACACAACTTTATTAACTATGTACATTACAAAATGTTGCCCAAAGATCTGCTGATCCTGAAGCGAACATGTTAATCTTACGACTGCTTAATATTGACTCTTAAAATATGTGCAAGAAGTGAAAGTTATACTCCCTTAAATCAAGTGGCTGTTGCGCCGTAGGCAAACAGTTATGCCCTTAGGGTTGACAGCCAATCAAGGATGGACATTATTTGTAACATTATAATGTCATCCTAGGACTATAAAATAAATAGGTATAGGTACAATTAATCATAAAAACGAATACTACTTAACTATAATATTAACAGGTATTAAAATGACCACAATGTGCTGCAGTATTCCACTATATCGATGGGCTCCTGTGTTGGAGGATCGTCTATCGAGTCATAGGGCAGATAGGCCGAGCATACCACCAAGGATGTGCTCTGTCCTGGTCTATCCTTAAGGCATAGTTTCACCGCTACTAAGTCCCTAGAACAGAAATTAGCTATTAGTGAGGACTCGATCCGTCTGTCGACGTAGATATAAGGCCTTGGATTTAGTTGGTCGCCCCTCTTGTAAAAGAGAGATCTTTCCCATCTACCTAGGCCCCTTACGCGACCCTTGTATGACGAAGGTTCTTGTAGGAGATAGTTTCAGCTAAGAATCTACAGCAGCCTAAAAATT